TTAGTGTTACTATGAAAATAGCTGTGACCTCATGGTCTCCCTGAAAGGACCTCAAGGACTACCAAGAGTCACAAGACCATACTTTGAGAACTGCTGTCCTAATATGGTCTCACTCACATGTCTGACAATTGGTACTGACTGACACCTGGTCCTCTATCTCATTATGTGGCCTCTCATCCACAAGGAAGCTAGCCTGGCCATGGTGATCTCTCAGGGCAGCAAATAGAGTGAAAGAAGAAGCTGTAGAAATTCTTGACACCTTGATTAGAAATCCTACAAGGATGCTTCTACTTCTTTCTATTGGTCAAAGTAAGTCACAGGGCTATCCCAGATTCAAGTGGATAGCCCTGTGATAGGAAAAATGAAAAGATATGGCTTCTTTGCAAACAATCTCCCTCAGACAGTTAACCCCTTCCAGAATTGGATGGTGGTAGCAGGCCAAGTATTTGATGCTTCTGACCCAGCTAGTCACATGATGAGCCATCTAGTAGTGCATTCTCAGTCCTTTATTAGCCTGAGAAATACACAAATGAGTCAGGTCACCAGTTAGTGGTGCTGCTGCTGCGAACACAAGACAAGTTAGGATAAGTCTATGTGAAATATGTGTGGGAAATAGAGGCTGAATAATAATCCTGTAGACTATGTGGAAAGTAATCAGAATGCTCTTTTAATAGTGCTTTTGCCATTTACGATATGGGGTAAATCTCAATCATTTATTTTATTGTTTAGCAAAGATTTTTTTTTATTTTGCAATAAATTCTTCTGTAGCAGTCAGCTCACAGAAAGTACATGTTTATTAAAAAATTAAGTACTAAATTTTCTTTCCTCAAGAAAGGTATTGCTGAATGTAATTTGCACAAAATACTTATTAACATTTACCATCTACAATGAGGATACTAATGATATTTTCCACCTGAAAACAAGAAGTCCAAACCTACTAAAAAAGCATCAGTATCTGCTTCAAAATTTGTCATTTTAAGAAGTCTGTAGCTGAAGATAACAATATGACAATTTAACACAAGCATCTACCAAAGGTATGAAGACCTACCACTGTATGCAGCAAAGCTATTCATTTTGACCAAATGACTACTTTTTATTTTCTCATTTTCTATTCCAAATGTTCTGGTGCACATAACATTGCAGCTAATGTGCCAGGTCAATTAGCAGAAAAGAACTTCACAGTTAAATGATGCCAAATTTATACCAATGATTTCAGATGTTTCAAATGGAAAATCAGTTAATACCAATGATGATTTCATTGTTCCTTCCATTTCATGCAAGTAAAGCTTGGACGTTCATCCTGCTGAAAGGGAAATATCTGATGTGAATGCTATTACAAATTCATTTATAATGTTCAACGTGGCAGATAAAGGTATTTGTTTTTATATGAAACATGCACTTTTTATTTCGTGAAGGACAGTGATGTGGTACCAAAAATGGTATTATTGCATTAAGAAACCTATGGAGAAAATAGGTACTTGGAATCGGTTTGCTGCATACGTTATTCATGATTGTACTCAAACAAGCAGGAGTATTCCACCAACCAAAATAGAAGTTATAGCTGTCAAGATTTCAAATGTGTTTCCGTATATACACAGAGTAACTGAACTATAAAATTTTTGTGACAAAGACAATGTTAAACACAAAAATAATCATAATAATCAGCATGGCAATGCAGTCTTTCTTCCTTTGCTACCCTCATCCATCAGATTTTAGAAATGTTTGCATTTTTTTTGGCTTCCAATGGTATAAAATTTTTTTTGAGTGTGCAAAGAGTTATCTAAATTTTGGTTGCATTTTTCCAAAATATGTTTCCATATATACACAGAGTAACTGAACTACAAAATTTTGAAAATATTTGATCAAAGTATTTGACAAGTAGAGAACCAAAGTATTTAAGCTTTTAACAAACTGAAAAGCGATTGAAATAAAGTCTGCATACAGAAGTCATTAGTACATATCTGTACAAATGCAAGAGATAAACCAAACAAAATAAATGAGAAGACCTCAGATCATGTATATTATTTAATTTTGAGATTTTATTATTGTGTTTGGTATATCTTGCTGTGGGAAGACCCTTTGGATGGCATTCCTATTATTAATTGGATAAATCCATATATTCTTCAGTAAGTGCATTTAAATTGATAAAGCTTACAATTTTGCAGCATCCATATTTAGCAACATGGAAAAGAATCATAAAGAAAGAGACAACTTTTAAGATAAGTTTTTCTTATAAAATATTTGTTGAGGATACCTGGATTCAAAATGATAGCACCTGCAAAAATTACTTGGATTTAAATATATACACATTTCAATATTCACAAAAATAGAGATGAGAGTATCTCCTATTTAGCAAAATTTGCTCAGAATCTATAAAAAAAAAAAAAAAAGCAAATTCCCAATTTAAAATACTTTGGTCTTGAGATAAAGAGTTCATTGTTGTGCCCACAATCTCAAGTTATCAACCACATAAACGCATCCTCAAAGAAAATTACAGCCTGGCCAGTGTGGCTCAGCAGATTGAGCGTCTTCCCATGGACTGAGAGGTCCCGGTTCAATTCCCGGTCAGGGCACATGCCCAGGTTCCAGGCTCTATCCCCAGTAGGGGTTGCTCAGGAGGCAGCCAATTGATGTAGCTCTCTCACATCAATGTTTCTATCTCTCTCTCCCTTCCTCTCTTTCTCTAAAAAATAAAAAATTTTAAAAAAAAAGAATTACAGCCAATCTTATGAAAAAAATAATTTAAAACAAAACCATATTAAAATACATTTTCAGATAAACATCAGTGACATAGTCTTACAGAAGAGATATAGTTAAGAAACTAATAAAAATGTATAAGTTATAAATAATGAATCATTATATTGTACACCTGAAACTAATATAATATGTCAATTATACCTCATTTTAAATTATACCTTTTAAAATGTATAAATATATACAAGAATAATTGCTGTCTGTCATTTTTTAATGTCAAAATTGTCAATCTACAAGTGTTTTCATTTTGCTTTAATATATACACATATACATTATTTTTATTTTTGAAATATTTTATTGCTAATAAAACTGTTTTTAGATCTATCAGTATAACAAAACCAAATGATTGGTCAATAAATAAATATTTTATTTATTTTAGACCTTCTCTCCTTCCTGGTTGGATTACAAGTCACATGGTTACTCCAATTACAATTGTATAATTTATGGTCCCACAGAACTTTCCTTTTTTTTAATTATTCTTCACCTGAGGATACTTTTCTATTTATCATCAGATAGAGTGGGAGGGAGGGAGGGACACAGAGAGAAACATTGAAGTGATAGAGCCACATCAACTGGACTCGACCAGGGCCAGGAATGAACCACAATCAAGGTATATGCCTTTGACCAGAATTGAACCCACAACTCATTGGTTCGCAGGCCAACACTCTAACCACTGAGCCAAACCATCCAGGACAGAACTTTCTAATATAATTGTATTAAAATAAGAGATGCTTTGCCCTGGCTGGTTTGGCTCAGCATTTAGAGCAACAGCCAGCAGACCAAAAGGTCACGGGTTTGATTCAAGGGCACATACCTGGGTTGCAGGTTCAATCCCAGCCCTGGTTGGGGCCATGCAGGACACAAGAAATCGATATATCTCTCTCATATGGATGTTTCTCTCTCTGTGTCCCCCTCCCTCCCTTCCTCTCTCTCTAAAAATGAATGGAAAAATATCCTCGGGTGAGGATTAGCAGAAAAGAGAGAGAGAAGCTTTGATGCTGTCATAAGAGGGCAGAAGAGATGCTCAATTTTTACTCAAGACAGAACATCATCTTTTTTCTCTTCTTCTTTGCCTGATAGCTTCAGGGTGCAGGTTTTGATGCTATATCATTCTGTTAATTATATTTCTGATTCCTTCCCCCTATGCTGCATTTTTACGATGCTCATGGAAGAATTTCTCACTCTGTAGTACCCAGGGGTTCTTCTTTTAATGGTTACTAAGGGTATTTGCCCTAGGTTAGCACAGTGCTTCTTTCTGGAGTGCTCACACCCAACATGACCTACTCCACTTTATTTATTTATTTTTTTGGTAGAACAACTCAGCAAAATAAAATTCCTGTTTATTGTCGGACAACATTGTTTCACACATACATCAAACAGGCCAAAAAATAAGAAATAAACAGCAACTTCATAGACAAAAAAAAGGAAAAAAAAAAAAAGAAACCCTTTTATCTTTGGCCCTTTTAACCATCTCATACAAACCACCTACTTATAGCACAGCTAAGTACATACACAAAAAGTTACTGGAATGCTCGGAATGAGATTGGTTTTTCATTGTTGTTTTTGCTTTTTTTACAAGTTTTTTTTTCTCTTTTGAGATTATAATGGACATGGTCACACCATAAGTAAAGTCAGAAGTAGGACAGAGAACGTGCCAAAGGCTGGTTTGGTCATCCCGAGATAATTAAAAATGGCTGACCCTTAACAATATGTACAAAAATATAAACTGTAAATAAAAAATACAAATTTTCCTTTTTAAAGTACTTTTAAGAAAAAAGCAGGGCCTTGGAAGTTTTGGTTCTTTTTCCCTCCCCTGCTGCAAATTCATGTTGTTGTTTTGGTTGAGTGGTGGTGAGTGCATGTCATCTGAGGGTGGCACTGCCTGCAGTGGGCAGGCGGGCGGGCAGGACTCTCTACTAGAAGGTGACCACGTTTAGATTGAGACGGGAAGTGGAGGGTGAATAGGTCACGCGGCCTTAGTTTTTTTGTTTGTTTGTTTGTTTTTTGTTGTTCAGATAGAGTGGGAGGGAGAGAGAGGAAGAGAGAGAGAGAGAGAAACATCGACGTGAAGGGACACATCGAGTGGCTGCCACCCGCACGACCAACCAGGGCCGGGGACAAACTGCAACCGAGGTACATGCCCTTAGCGGGAACCGAACCCGGGTCTCTCTGGACCACAGGTCAATGCTCTGTTTTTTAAGTTCAACGTTTCCTTTTTTTGCTGTCTAGTCATCCTCATCGGTCTTCTACTTCTTGGTGTCAACATTGTCATCCTCATCATCTTCAGCTGCCCGTTTGCCCGTAGCTGCCACAGCCTCCTCATCTTCATCTCCATCCTCTTCCTCACCATCACCTTCCTCCTCTTCCTCCTCCTCCTCTCCTCCTTCTTCCTCTTCTTCATCTACCTCATTGTCAGCCTCCTGCTCCCCATTTTCCTCATTAGTGTTCCCACTAGCAGGTGCGTCTCTTCCATTCTCTGCCTCCTCCACAACTTCCTTCTTCTCCTTTAAGTCCTTGGTGGTGATCTCGGAGCTGGTGTCCATGGCCACGTCTGACATGGCCGGCACGCAGGTGATCCGATGCAGTGGATTTTTTTTAAAAAAGAGCGAGAGTTCGGAAGACTCTGGCGAAGAAGCTGCCAGAATCCTTGTGGCAGAGGAGGTGCGAGGCCGAGGCAGCAGCGGCGAGCGGAGAGGAGGCCACAGGAACAACACAAAGATTGTTTTTCAGAACAGCAGTGGGCCTACTCAACTTTATTTGGAGCAAGTCCTGAACCAGAAAAGCCAGTTAGAGAAAGCCAATAGTCATTCCCTTACACCTCTCCTTTCTTTCTCTTTCCTCTTCCCCACCCCCACCCCCCACCCTTAATAAGTTACTACAGTAAGTAAAAAAGCAATAAAACCTCTTTGTGATTGAATTATAAATAGGGAAATATCCTTCTTCATTAATTAATGGTTTTTTAACTGAAATTTTTGAGAATCAGATTGGTTATTATTTTTGTGTGTCCTTATTAAGGCCCCACTTCAACCATTTCCCAGCAAGTGGACAGCTGCTGCATAATACTTTGAAAATAGACTGGCCCAGATCACTGCGATGGGAGAAGTCAAGCATGCTTTCATACTTTTGTTGTTTCTATTTTTACAATTGTAATGATCACTTATGTGTTTCTGTTGTTTCTGTTCTAGAATGTTTCCAGTCTCTATCCTACACATTAGTTAGGGTAATGCTAGTTACCCTGAAACCTCAATGGTTTAAATGATCAAAGCTCACCAAATCAAGTCCAGTCAGCTAGAGGATGGAGATGTGGGTTGGGTCTCTGCTCCACAGAGTCTCCCAGGGATTCAGACTGACAAAGACTTTGCCATCTTAGAGTGGAGGATCACATGGGAAGTTGTAAGGCATCAAGCCTGAAAGTGACCCACATAGCTTCCACCTATATTCCACTGGTCAGCCCTCAGTCACACCTCTCTGTACCTAACTACAAGGCAACCTGGGAAATGTAGTCTAGCTGTGTGTCTAGATGGAAAGAAAACAAGTGTGCTGAATGGCTCACTAATCTCTGCTTCAATTAATTAGACATACTGTAGTCATTAGAACCTCAAAACAGGCTGAATGAAAGCTTTTTGAGGAACAAATCTTAAAGCACAAGCTCAATGCCAAATGCACATTGTGAGTGCTTGTTAAATGCTACAAATTGCCTTCAATTACCAGGGCAAATGGTAATTTATTTTAAGAGTAGTAATGAACAAGGTGGGCTGATGAACGAAATAGACCCAGAGACCTAGAAAGAAGTATGGTTCAGACTGACAAACCTCAGAGTAGGGGGGGTGGGGGGGATGGAGGAGATGAACCAAAGAATTTATATGCATGTATGCATAACCAATGGACATAGACAACAATGCTGGGGGGGTGGGAGGAGAGGTTGGGGAGGAGGGGGTCCGGGGGGGGGGAAACATCTGTAACAAAAATAAATTAATAAAAATTGGAGGGGGAAAAAAGTAGTAACATAACTTGTTTAGGGACTGAAGAAGTTTTTCTCCAAAGACAGTGTGTAATTCTAATTAATTATTTATCTTACTACTTTTGAGTATTTATTTGACTGCCCATACACCTTGACTGCGCATTTGAAAACAATCAGCAAACTTAGGATCCTATACATCAAATGCCTCAGCCTTACTGAACTTCTGGAACAAATTTTATACATAATAACAGTGTTTAAATCTGGTGCTCTTAGAATTGCTTGTCTACAACTTCATAGCAAAATGGAGTTCTCTAACATAAATTTGAAACTGCTTGCTGCTGCAACGATGATTTCACAAAATCTCTTGTATTTTGCAAATGCCTTGCAATCACTGCAATCATAGCTATTCCTTCACCATCTTTAACAGAATTTCCATTCTTATTTAACAAGTGAGTCAGCAAATGGGGCTCAATGGTTCTCATTGTTATGCAGTCCTCAACTGGGCTCCCTCTCCTGTATCTATATCTATATCTACAATTATATTTATGTATTTACATCTGTAGTTTCATCATACTTCTTGTTAATGTATGTGTAAACATGTATTCATCTATATCCTAAGTGATAAAGAAATTGATAACACTTGTTTTCATTAATTTTTGTCCTAACAAATGATAATCATATTGTTAGTGCTTATTTCCAAAATTGTCTTCATAAAAGCATTTTTTAAAAAACATTTAAAAGATGGCAGAGGAAAATGATATAATCCAAAATCTTCTTTTTAAAATGTTTTTATTTAAGTATAGTTCATATACAATATTATATTGGTTATATGATTTTCGGGTGTACAAAATAGTGATTTGACATTTTTATACCTTACAATGGGATCACTCAAACTCTTTAAAATTATTTTTTTTAGCCAAGTTTATTTTACCAGTGTGTGAGCTCATTTGTTCCTTCACTTGTTTCATTTCTCCATTCACCCTTTCAGTCAACCACTCACAAATATGATTGATCTCATTCTTTTAGTTAAATTAAAAATAGCTACATATGCTGGGGCTCTTTATGGAGGGCACATTTTGAGAAAAATGATTAGGGTTCAAGTTTCATGGACATAAAACTGCAAGCAGGAAGTGCTTGTGACTCTAAGTTGTATTCATGTGTTATATTTGTATATGCTGCATTACATTTATTTTTTCCAGCTTTATTGAGGTATAACTGACCAACAAAATCATAGCATATGTATTCATTTATGCATCTGTTCTTCAGTTACCTACTGAGCAGATACCATGTGCTGGACACTGTCTTAGGTGCTGAGGATTCCATGATGGACAAGATAAACACAAAGTCTCTCCCCTCATGGAACTTCCATTCCAGTGAGGAAGATACTCAATAAGCAGATATATGGATGTATGGATGGATGATGGATGGATGGATGGATGGATGTTTAGATATAAGATAATATATGTGTTATATTTTATATGTATTACATATATATTAATTGTAATGTCTATATATAGTAGAACCACACAAGAACCTTATTTTCTTTCATCTGCCCTTTTATTTTTACTTTATTCCTCTAACTGAAACTGGTCTCACCTAGTGCCCTGACTCACCCACATCCGTCTCCCTTGCTAAATCATTAAGCCCTCAGGACAATGAGGTTTGGGTCAGTATCCAATAGTCTTAGAAACAAGCCTCAATTCTATTGACCACAGAAACAGAATTTTGGTCAAACTAGAGATAATATCTAGGCCTCAGTTGTTTCAGCTCCAGGCCCAGAAAAGCAGCAAAACCAGGTGAAGTGATGCTATGGCTGACATCAGGACCACATGCAATGATCAGCTATCCCCTGCCTTAGCACTGACCAAACACTAAAGATAACGATCCTAACTCTATTAGTCACCATGATTAATGATTTTTTTCCTATATAATCTATCCCCTGGAAGCCATTGGGGAGCCAGATCTTTGAGTATGAGCTACTTGTGACTCCAGGCATGGTTCCATCTCCTTAATAAATCCTTACTTTCTTGGCTGCAAACTCCTGTTCCTGTCTTATTGGGCCTTGATGCGCACAAGCAAACAGACCCCCTTCAGTCCGGTAACAATAACAATGATATATATTATATCACTGGCAAAGTCAATTTTGTGACTTTTTCTGTTTCGACAACAGCCCTATTAAATATTCACGTTCTATCTCTGCCCTTGTAAAATTCAGCACTTTCAGAAATTTCCTACTGTTGGTTAACAAAAGGATCAAGAAGGGTAAAAGGTAACAGAAGCAAAGTTAATTAACAATTGAAATACAGCTCTGGCCCATTTGGCTCTGCAGTTAGTGTCGACCCACAGACTACTGAGTCACAGGTTCGATTGCGGTCAAGGGCACCTACCTCAGTTGCGGTTTGGTCCCTGGCCCTGGTCAGGTCATGCAGGAGGCAACCAGTTGTTGTGTCTCTCTTACATCAATCTCTCTCTCTCTCTCTCTCTCTCTCTCCCTCCCTCCCTCCCTCCCTCCCTCTCTCTCTCCCTCCCTCCTTCCTTCCCACTCTATCTGAAGATAAATGGAAAAAAATATCCTTGGGTGAGAATTAAAAAAACACTTAAATACAAGTGCTCTATTTTGCCATTTTCTATTATATTATTTTAGAATTGCATCACTCCTCTTTCCCAATCCAAAACAAAACTCCAAGTTGTTGCTGTTATTTCTTTTCTTCCTGTCCAATGAACACAAAATTTTTCATCTATTTTTTAATATTTATATTTTGTTGTTGTTAATTCTCACCTGAGGATATTTTTCCATTGATTTTTAGATAGAGTAGAAGTGATAGAGGGAGAAAGAGAGAAACATCAATGTCAGAGAGACATATCAATTGGTTGCCTACCACAGGACCTAGAGCAGGGCTGGGGATCGAACCTGCAACCCAAGTATGTATCCTTGACCAGGAATCAAGTCCAAGACTCTTCAGTCTGAGGGCTGACACTCTAACCACGGAGACAAACCGTCCAGGGCCAATAAACACAAACTTATAGAATTCTAACGTCCTTGAGAGATCATCTTTGCTCACCACATTATTTGACAAATAAGGGAAGTTGGGTTCAGGAAGATGGAGCAATTTTCCCAAGATCACAGTAGTAGTTGGGGGGAGGGCTGGGTCTGGATTCCAGATCTAGTTTTCTATACCCAGGAGAGCACAACAATGAATGACAATCTATTTTGTCACAGTAATGAGAAAATACGGGCAGACTCAGCTACATAAAGTATGACTTTGGGTTGTAAACTAGAAGATTGAAATTCTATTCACAAGTTTTCTTCTTTCTTTCTTTCTCTCCATGCTTCCTTTAAGGAAAAAGTTAGACTTTCTTCACAAAGTTGAATGACTTTGTGACATAGTTGGGAAACTGAATCTGAGCTGAAACTTGGGAAAACAACACCCTTGAGAAAAAGAAATTAAAATCAGCTGATGTTTTTCTAAACACTGCCTTCTTAATGATTAAAACATTCAACAATGTACAAGTTAGGAAAGAGGAAATAAACAAATGTTTTAAATAAAATAAAAATAATTTATAGGTTAAATAAAAGGAAGTAAATTTCTAAGCCAC